TTATTTATTTATTTATTTATTTATTTATTTATTTATTTATTTATTATTTATTCATTCATTCACTCATTTATTTGTTCATTTATTTATTTTTATTTTTTACAGCTGGTGATGCAGCCTGAGGAAATGTTCCACACAAAACATTCAGGATGGGTCTTACTACCTCAGAAACACCTCTCCAGAAACACCCTCAGATATGTGCCCAGATTTCTGCCTCTTAAGAAAACCTAGTTCCTGCCACACTACCTAGAATCCAGTCTCAACTTCAGATATCATTATTGTGGGTACTGCTCTGCAAGGGCCTTCACATTCACGCTCTATTGGCTAGGTCTCCAGGAAGAGGTGGATCTCTCTTTCTTGGCTGCTGCCTCTTCCTCAAGCCAGGGGACCTCTTTTCTTCAGCCACCTGAGAAGTGGTCAATACCATACCCCTACCATGGCATGGGTAGCAATACAGGAGAATCATTAGACTCTAAATGTGAATACTTTTAGAGTCCATCTGAGTGATACCAGGACATTTTTGGCTATGGAGAAATATCCCTCGCTCTGCAATAGTGACCCCAACTCGCCTCTTTTTGGAACCCAGAAAAAATGCTCAACTCCCTCAGCCATTCTGTCTCATTGTTGAGACCACCAGGGCAGGATGACAGCTCATTGTCTGCTGAGCCATCTGCACCTGGCAAGGCCACCCTTTCTCTACTAAATAAAGGGCACTGTTCACATGGGCTGAGGCCTGGAGTCGCCATTGTTTAGTGTGTGTGTGTGTGTGTGTGTGTGTGTGTGTGTGTGTGTGTGTGTGTGTTTTCTCAGTTCTAACAAAGGCAAGCAAAGTACTCTGGGGTGGTGCAGTAGGTAAGGTTGTCACGTGAGACAGTGGAGCTGGCACACGGTGTACACAGTCTAAAGACATCAAAAGAGGTGAGGCAAGATAAAGGGAAGTTGTCCAGCCACTCGTCCCTCTGTGGATAACAGGAACTTTAGAGGTCTGCTTCCCCAGGAGCCTCTTGGGGCTGTTCCTGCTGGAGTGAATGAGGAAGTCCCTGTCCTGCCTAGGGTTGCTGGTCTACAATTAACATAACATCATTGTTGGCCACATTATGCAATTGGATCATAGATTCA